TCTTAGTACCTTTTAATTGCCAGTTAGCGTTAACTCTCACACTTTGTTTTCATGGAAAGAAATGTATCTAAGTAGAAGATTATCTATCATATCAGTTTAACTGAGGCGCCTTTTTATATTATTGATAAAAGAACGTGTACTTAATGTCTTTGGGATTGTAAAAATCAATAACGAACCAGAAAAAATTTAAATAAACATAATATTGCGCTTGATAAATATCGAACATTCATAGTCAGTGCTTGGTGAAACTTGTGAAAACTCGAAAAAGTTGGTAACATCGTAACATAAAGCAAGATTGTAACTATAGTACGTTCGCTCCTCCAGGGAGTCTTGGACTAATTGCCTCTCTTACTAGTTTGCGTCATTCTTCGATAATACTATCCTTGTTTCTGACCGCATTGATATCAAATTGACATATGATTAAATTGAAGTATTAAAACAAAACATAATCTCCTTGTGCTTTCATTGTCACGTTTGGCAAGCATGTACTGTATGTCCATAAGCACCATACTGCATCTGGAGGTGTGAACGCGCTATAAAAACAAAAGACATTCTTAAAAAATCCCACAAGGTCAGTAAACTGACTAGTCTCTTGAGCAGATACTCCAAAAGGGTTTTCCTGAAGTAATATCACACAAGCTATAGCCTACTGGACGTAAATCTGCGCTAAGCAATAATAAAAATACAACTGAATACCGAACGATTCTCGAGATCTTCCCGCATCCATTATTATTAAAATTTTGTGAAAATATCCTTAAGAACATGTTTGTCAATTTTCAAACCGATCAGACGTTTCTAAACAAAGTTATCGTGCACACGGGCTGACAGGCAGCAATACAAAATTTTACCCAAAATCGTCCAGAAACCTAATTCATTTTCATGCCTACTTTCTGTCAGGAAATTTTAGTTTCCATAACAGAGGCAGAGCAGACTACGTTTCCTGCCGCTTGTCACTTTACTTGCCGCACCTGTCACTTTACCGGCCGAACCGTCTTTTTACCGGCCGCATTTTGTGACATTTGTAAATGTCTATAATGACTCCCGTCATCACTGACAGATTGACATCAATCAAAAGTTCTATTTAAAAATTGAAATTTTATATTAAAATACGATTTCGGGTAAAATTTAATACAAAACTCGTCACTAAAATGACACTATAGATACTTGACTCGTAAATTAAAGTACTCGGCCCCAAAGGGGCCTCGTCCTTCAATATTTCCTTGCCAGTAATGTATCATTTTCCTGACTTTTATGTATATAACTAATAAACGAAACATAAACAAAAAAAATACGAATTAATCCTACATGTTTTTGCGTAGAATATAATCAGAGCCTACTGGTAACTACGCTCTGATATAATACTCGTATAATGCAAGCTACCGATCGTCTGAAGGCCAACGACCACTTTCGCGCGGCGAAGCGGCTTTTTCGCTCACATTGATTTAAATAGGCAAACGCTCACTTGAACGGAGCGCAGCGCAGCGTATCGGTTTATGAAATCAATGTGAACGAAAAAGGTGGTTCGCCGCGCGCAAGTCCACGTCGGCCTTTACGGTATAAAAAAACAGGACAGCATCTCGGACCAGGAACTCCATAGAACTTACAGGATACACCAGCCCACGGAAGACAAATAATAACAACAACGAAAACAATCAAAATAACATCTAAAAACAGAAATAGAAACATAAACTTGGACCAAAAACCTACAAGTAAAAATGCCAGCTGAAAGCAAAAGACGAACTCCGAAAGCAATCGTGTAAATAGTCTAGTAGTAATCGGGAAGGAGCGAAAAATCCTGTTGCAAATTTTGTATGAAAAAGTGAAAAGTACTTTGGTTTGCGAGTGTGTCATATATAAATTACGACGACCGTGGCCCTATTTGTCAATTCAATGATTATTTCTGCAAAATCGCCCACAAATAATAATTTTACCGTATTTACGTTAACTATTAATTTACGATTACGTTGTTTTTTCCTGCGAATTGTTATTGACCTAGAATTTATATTGATGTGCGCATAAAAGGCAATGCGAATATTGGCAGCACCGATTAGGAAATGGTGTCACTACCACGTACCTTCAGGCATTTCACTGACTTTCGCTCAAATTCTAGTTCTAAGTTAATGTATCACCATTCATTGTTTAAATACTTTAAATAATGGTATCACTCACTTGACTTGTGGACTTTTTCATTCGTTTAAAAAGCGCGAGGTTTTACAGCGAAATTAGTTGACAAATTTTCCGACTTTTCAAGCGAATCTAATACCTGTTGCTGCTGCTACTGTAAACTGCTCAAAAACGTTTCTATGGTCCATTTATCATTCGATTATATTTCTTTTGTTTTCATTGAAGTTTCTACGATTATGGGCCTAAAGCAGTCGAACTGAATTGGGTACCTCTGGGAACACCACCATAACCGCAGCCAACATCGAGAGCTTGGGAAGGTTAAGAAAAATCAAACTTTCAGCTCAGGCTCTTGTTCAGTGGTCAGTGTTTCCCGTAAGTGCGGGTAGATAAGGAAATGTTTTTCTCGACTTTTCCATTACGTGCGGGGAAATAAATGAAATGGGAATTGAATATTGAGTGGGTCCAAGTATACCTATTTGAAAGGGTTGATGTCGGTGTACGGTTCGTTTACCTTGTCGCTCGTTGTCTATATTGGTACAGTCTCGGGTACAGTTTATTGAAGAACTACAAACTACAAATCAATAACGTACTTTACTACCGCACAAATAATTTGTTTGCTAAGACGTCGGAAATGTTAATCTTAACCAACGTGTGTGCTGATAATACGGAGACACGTTTCCCAAATATGTTTATGAAAATGATTAATGAGCTTACCGAAATAAAAACTATTAAATACTAAATATTAAAATATTAAAAAACTATTGGAAATGAAGGGGCGTAACGCTGACATGTGTAAGACATTACTCAACCCCAAAATTGCTTGTTGCTGACGAGTTGCTGGTCTTAACTTCGACGTGTCGCTGGTCTAATATGAGATGCAAACATAAAGGTTGTCAGAATTAAGTATGTCAAAAAATTAGGTGGTAGACAGAACCAAAACAATATTTTTTGTAAATAAAGCAGGAGTCGTTTCGTTTCGTCTACTTATCTAAGGTCAAAGGTGGCATTTCTTTACTTTTTTCACCAGCTCGAACATATACATAGATGAGATCGGGTATGCCATTTTGGATTTTGCCAAATTTGTCTAAAATTCGTACCATAAGATGGCGCACACAAAAAAGGAACACAGGAAAAGATTCGTATCCTGACGAAATTTGATTTTTGGGAGTTCAAAGAAAGAGAAAGAGATCGCGGAAACAGGTGTCAATGTCGTCCCACCCGAAAACGGCAGTTAGAAACTTACTGAAACAAACACCTTTTCTTAGGTCAAATTTTTGATATGGTGCTTATGTTCGAAGTTATTAGCGTTCTTTTGTTTTTCGAAAAATCGCCATAACTCCCTTCTTTAAAGGACTATTGAAAAAACAAATATGTCTTTCAGCTTTCTAAAACATTCGTATTTGCAATTATTTTTAATTTTTTCAAATAACAAAATAGCGATTGATCAAAAATTTAGTGTCGGGTTCGCAAGGTGGTCGTCAGTTGGATATGTTGACGTGGCCTACTTGCCAATACCCAGATTTCAGATTGAAGTGGGAGGAGAACACTGACTGTTTCATAATCTGGTTGTACTTCCTGAACTTCGCCTGAATTTCGCTTGTAGTTAATTGAAAATGTCGCAAATAACAAAAAAAAATAACGATTTAAGTCGATATTATGTTACTTGGAATAATGCTTATAGCGAGACTTATGGATTGTAATGGAACTCTACTTAAATAACATTTTCGCACCACCCGCCGCCACGCACAATCTACATCTTTTTGGAATCGAATCGACTTGAATACCATGATCGACATATCGAATTTTTTAGGATCAGTTAATCACTCACTAGTAGGCGGGGGACACTTTGCGCCCGGAAGACCAAATCTTCAAATGAGTATAACTTTTGCTTGAAAAGTGATTTCAAAAAACGGCGGGCACTTTCTGGGAGGAATTTTGAAAAAATTTTTAAAGAATCGGAAAGGACATACCCTCGAACATACCCGAAAACCTATTCAAAGCCGTACCACCAGTCTTTCTAACTTTTATGGTTGCCGAGAACCAAATTAAACAAGAAATGCAAATTTTACCACTTTTGTGGGGGTGGCTCCCAAACGAAACACGGACCCTCGGTTTATTTGGAAAAAATGCTTGTTTTGATCCCCACTACCACCCAAGTTTTCATACGTAAATGTAAAAGCCTGGATAAAGAACATATCTAAAAATAATAACATCCCTATACATGTGAAGAGGATTCAGGACCTCTATTCTTTAAACTAATTTAAAGCAGTAGTAAGAGGTAAATCTAAAATATAATCTTCGATGCGTCAGGTGTGCCAGTACCCATATATCTTTACCAAAAGACATCATTTATTCAAACAGCACAGGTCTAACTTTACATTTTTAGTCAATTACGCGTATTATAGCACATTAAATTACTTAACCAAATAGCTATTATTCAACGAAATTATTATACTTGTAAATGAAGTTGATATTTATTGTTTATTTAGTAACAATGCATTTTTCCGCATTTTTTGCATGAGAATTGGGGTCAGTGTATTATGGTAAATGATTATTATAGAAGACTAGAAGAATTGAGGTCAATTTGTTATAGTTAACCTGTTTAAATTTAGCAGCGGAGGACGAAAACGATACTAATAATTTCTGATTTGCGTAAATGAATTTAATGTTCGGTTCACAACGTATTCGTGGTATTCTCACTTGATACTATTAGAAAGTGAAGGGGTTCAACTTGACTGATGCAAAAAAATAAACTAATTCGAGCCGCAGTCTAAACATTGACTAAGTGTATATTTCTTTTTCAGTGAAGCTGCTCGATACAAGAAAGTGTTATGGAAGGAACTTCGAGTGGGCGATTTAATACACTTATCCAATAATGAAGTGGTGCCAGCCGACATCTTGCTATTACGAACGAGTGCGCCAAATGGAGTCTGCTATATTGACACCGGCCATTTAGACGGCGAAACGAATTTAAAACAAAGAGAAGTTCCACGTACGTTTCTAAAAAAGGTTGGTTAAAAATATTAAAGGTGGCTAAGTATGGATCGGAGAAAGTATTTGTTCTGATTTAAAGTATTTAGACCACTTACAAATAAGATGCACATGAATAATTTAAATAATAAGTATAAGCTTTGATGTGTAGCGTGAAATACACCTTCTTCAGTTTGCTGAAATTCAAACTTCACAATGATGCTGCTCATCCTGAAGTGCGTAACAGATGAGATTCAAAAAGTTGAGTTTTTTTATTTAAATTTGTCTATACCACCGTGGTCTAGACATAAATTGCAACTGTGAATTACGCTCTCATTGCTAAGGAGAAGGAGCATTCAAACAAATATTCCTCGAAATATTCATATTTGACATGACCATCTTCATAATAATATTGTATCAATCGGTTTGTATTCAACACTGTAACGGAAGCTTGCTAAATTTTTCAAGTTTTTGTAGATTTCAAAATTATATTTGGGTAGAAGTGCGTATCGATGATTCAGATTTCTGGGAAGTTGTAGTTTTCATTAAAATTAACAAACATTTTTTTTCGGTGTAATTAAGTTTCAAATATCTTGAAATTTTGGATGAGTTATTGGTTTTGGACTTCCTATTTTGGGCTAGTTAACGATTCGTACGTGATTTAAAAAAGATTACTGGTTAAAAGACGCAATTGATTCTAAGAAAAATATGTAATAAAACAGCGAGGCTAAAAAATTATGAGTTTGTTTATTTCCGGTAAATCGTTGGGAGTATTAATGACGGGCGTTGATTTACTCGCGATATAAAAACAAAATGATCCGAAATTTAGATTTTTTTCGCATATATTCGCACGGGCGAGTTTCGCTGCGGAAAACGGAAGTAAAAAGGTCCAAACCAAAGAGAATTTGTTGCGCGTTTTAATTTAAAATCGTTTCACCAGGGACAAGTTGGTCGTTCTGGAATAGTGAATCGTTCGGAAAGTATTAATCATTGAGTATCTTGCAAAAAAGCAACTGCAGTTCAGTAACGTGCGATTGAAAGACTTCCGTTCAGAAATTATATAAAGTACGAAATGCGCGCTAGGAAATTGTTGTTCAATTTGGATTACGCGATTGGAATTAATAGACGAAGATTGAGAATAATCTAAATCATCCTCCACTACAAAAAACACCATCTCAAAAGGAGAAGAATACCAATGTCTAAATTGTAAAAAGTTATTTTTATCAAAAGTCATTTTTTAATTGTTTTCGGCGAATGGTTTTATTAGGTAGGCTAGTTATAGGTTAGTAGCCATTATATTCATTGCTGTAGGTATTTAATTATATTAAGTAAATTTAAATAGTATTCAGATTCAGGATAGATGTAAGTAATTGAGTATTTAATATAAAAAAAATCAATTGTGAGTGCAGTGGAAGTTGGATTTATTTTATTTTTTTCAATATAGTCGGTTTATGTATGTGGGTTTATTTTTATCAAGCAGAAACGTGAGACGGTAATAGTAGGGCTATTACAACACATGGATACATATCCTTTGTCTACATTCCGCAAACATTATGACATAATGCCTTTTTTTCTGAAAAATTATATAAAAAGCGTAATATGCATAATTGTACAGGGTGACCTATATTTGATACATATTATTAAAGGTGTAAAATATTATTTATCACAATCATGTAGTTGGTGGTTTGTAAATGTTATTTTAATAACCTGCTTAGTCTACAATATCACTGTCACATTAATATTTTATTATATGGAAACGTAGTGGCAACCTTACTGGCCCATTGGTACCTATCCAATTTTCGTGAAAATGGACACTTAACACCATTAATAAGATCTTGTCCGGGATTACCACATTCCCTTTGTAGGTACACACTTCTGACGCCCCCACAGTCATATAAATGCGCCATTTTGATGGAAATCGCTGAAAACCCTCCACAAAATAGTACTCAATTTTCGGGTTACTTCTCATAGCTTGAGATTCTATTGGCAACACGAGAAAGAGAGATCGCGATTGGAGACAAAATTCGCAGCGGAAGGTCCGAAGTCGACTGCTCACCAAACACACACCAAACCTTGAGGATATTTAGATTTCGACTCTGCACAGGGTCCGCCCCTTTTTCCAACTTTACAGAATAATCAAGTAAACTAATAATGCTTTATAACCACTTTCTTTAAACTAATATTGTTAACTAAATTTTGTTCTACTGCTATAATTTGTCAACCGTTCTTGTGTCCTAAACTTAATAAATAAAATTTTCAGTTCAAACCCCGTACGGACGTCACTGGTGAAAATTTAAAAAAATCTTTTGCGTCAAAAAATGCTTCTTAATGATGAAAATGTGTGTACAAAACTTCATAAATATATCTAAGAGTGATAAAAAAAATTATGGTAAAAAACTCAACTTTCTCTTAAAATTTTAACACCCTGTAGCTCACAAACTAAGATGTTTAGGACATACGTTGATATAAACTTTTCTCCTTAAAATCACCCGAGGATTCACACCCTGTATTGTCGGCACTCAATTAATTAACACCCTGCAATGGTATAATTGTATAATAATAAAGCCTTTGAGAAACGCTTCTTCTCTTATAACTTATAGCCGTTCTTTGCTTCGGCCGCCCGCGCGATTTTCACGCATCGCCGTATAGGTAGGAACGGCACAGACTCTGCAACTAAAAAAAAATTACCAGTTGTTGTACACTTAATGGACTGCAGTCAGTATACAGTCTATATTGGAAGAAACTTGAATTTTTCAATAAATACAGCTCTGATCAATATAAATTGTTTGCTTGATTTCAGTAAGAATCTTTGGAGGGGCAACTGCCCATGTTGTCCATTTATTCACGCCCTTGTGAATGTCATACATACCTATTTGTTCGGAAAACATAGCCCATTCCAAAATTAATGAAAAAATTATATTATATTTTAAGATTATTCTGCAGATTACGTATGACCTCCACTATACAATGATTGTTCACCATTAAACACACAATATCTTATCAGTTATCACACTTTACTTTGGTTATTGGTTCAGATATTCATTATCTACATTTTATGCAAGCTCATGTCATCTATACATTACAATTAAATTTTACAGTCTAGAATTAGAAAATAATAATACTGATAAAATATGGAATATGGAATTTCACTAGTCACACAAAGTACTTATTGTATCATCAAGGCAGTACGATTTTTTCATCCTGTTCTTGAAATGTTCATAAAACACACTGAGATTCCTAATACAACATTCTTTTGTTTACCTTTTTAAGCTCGTATAGGGGACCAATTAAGCTACTAACTTAACTACATTTGAGGATTCAAAATGTTTCTTTTCCCAAAATTTGCGTAGTGACGTAAAAATCCAATATGGCGTCCATCTAAAATAAGGAAGTTGATGTTAATATGTCGAAAACCGCCATTTTGAAAAAAGTTGTTCTACGTCCATTGAATTTATCCCATCGAATCTTGCAACTTTTATTAACAACTTAAGACCTTCTGCAGATGCACCTCTAAAAAAAGCATTATGCGGGTCACTCTGTAATTGGGCGCGAGCCTGTTCAGGCCCCAGAACAATAGAGGGATAATAAATAAATACATAAAAAAATAAAATAAATTTGAAACTTTTTTCGATAGCTCCAAGTGTTACTAACGGTTACTAAAATATTTGAATTTTTTTAAAATGTCGATTTTCACTTTTTTACAATTATTTACGAAACGATTTATTTTTTTCATAATATTTCATTGGAATATCCATCAGCATCAAAAACTACACAACTTTGCAAATTTAACCGAATCTGTAACTATAATAATACTGAAGATAACCATGTTATCCTACTCAATTTAAGACACCCTATATAGGGTCACCATTAAAAATAATCATATATCTGATTTTATTTATTTCATTTATTTATTATAATTTTATTACATTTGGTATAGAACTATAGACATTTGTACGCAATACTGAAATACAATTGTTTCTTCGATTTGCAGTACCTATTGAAATTCTGCAATGCAAATTTTGGAAAATTATTTGTGGCTTACTATGTATGCATAAAAATTAAAATAAATAATGTCAGAAGCGTTTAAAATAAACTCAGTGTGTGTTTCTTCCTTACATTCTAATTTTAATTTGACCCGAATTAAAAATGGAATAGTTTATACTACAAATCTGAAATGTCTGAATATCTGATAGATTTTCTAAAATTTCAGCAAGAAATATTCGAACCAAGCAAGTTTCGGAGCCACATCGAAGTGGACGCACCTACAACCAAAATTTACCGATTTCATGGCGCCATGCTGCATCCATCGGGCGCGAGGGAAGTGGTCGGTACCGAAAATTTACTGCTTAGGGAATGTCTGCTTAAAAATACCGATTACGTGGAAGGAATTGTTGTGTATGCCGGTAACTAAAATGGAAAAAATGGGAGTTTAACCATCTAAAGTTTTTGCGCTTTTTAGGACATGAAACGAAAGCGATGCTAAACAATGGTGGCCCACGATATAAAAGATCGGCATTGGAAAGGCAGATGAATCAGGATGTGTTTTGGTGTGTTCTGGTTCTTGTGATTTTGTGCGTTATTGGAGCGGTTGGTTGCAAGTTATGGTTGCAAGCTTACAATCAAATAAAAGAGCCCTTTAAACTTGAGGCTTCTTCTGAATCCACTGAAGCGTTTCTTGCCTTTTGGACGTACATTATTATTTTACAGGTAAGCTTGAGCACATTATAGTATTTGAACTTGGGTATATTCAAAGGAATTTAAAAGTTATATTTCAGTTCAATATCAACAGTAAGATTCTAATCCTGGCTTATAGGCAACACGCGTAACTTATTAAGTAAATGTACATGTTCAGGCCATTAGTTTTTGTTATTCATACAGCTAGCTTCTAGTCCCATTTCTCAAAGTGCATTCCTTACGGAATGTTACTTGGACAATTTGCAAAATTTCCGGTTTTAGATATGAATGGAATTTTACTTAAACTGGAATGGGGTTTTTATGTAAATTGTGCGTTTTCTGAGAATTAATTTGCAGTACTAATTTTTACAGGTATATTCCAATTTGTTCCGGTAGCACTAATATTATTTGCATTAAACTGCATTGAGGTTTGGTAAATCCTGTTGAGATTTTCGCCAAGGCTGGTTTTGAAATCGATTGTAATTATAATAAATTAATATCAGATAGCTGTTGATAGGAGTTTTGCCCATTGTAATTGCTTGTACAAGTTTAGTACCAGGTTTTCTATATTTGACTTACCAAAGAAAACTAGATTGGATATTTCCTTCTAGCGTTGAGTGATGTTATTCAATGCTGCTAGGTTCTGCGTTCTTAGATATGTGATTAGATTGTTACTGTATTGCTCATAGGTAATTAAAGTCGCGCGCTTTGTCAAACGCAACTCATCCAATAGCAATTGACTAAGGTTTGCGATCGCTGATTCCATTCGTTCCTGTGTTAAATAAAGAACTGTATGTTTCACAGTTGACCTGCATGTGAAACAGCTCAATTTTTCATGCTGTCGTTCAAAGCAAGACACAATTTTTGTGTTTATCTAGATGTCACTTGGTTGTGCAGTTTCTGTTTTCTGGTTTTTGATGTTTATGTTTAATATTATTATTTATATGTTTTAACATTTATAAAAGTTGAATTCAGGCGCCCTCAACAGCCTCAATTTCATTGCAGAAAATGCCATTGTTCATTTAATTTCCAAAATGATTAGGCGTCGGGAAGTAAATGAGTATTTTATTAGGTTAATTACAAAGACAATACCAAATTAATTGATGTGTTATTTCTGTTTGTAATGTGATGTAATTTACCAATAGGAATCTGACGTCAGAGCCAATCAGAGACGAGCGCGCCCTCTTATTGCCCTCTCTTTCAGGTTCGTGAAGCGGTCCAACAGCTTTTCCACCCGCTTCAACAACTGTGAACTGGTACCGGTTTTAAAATATGTTGACCCGCTTTACAAACCTGTTGGATCAGTTGAAAAACCTGTAGGCGTACTCGTGTCTGATTAGCTGTGGCGTCACGACCCCGTCTCTGATTGGTGTGACGTCACTTCCCGGGCTAGAAAATACATTGGGCATCTACTCGTGCACATCATTGGTGTGTTATGATGTCATCACTAAGTATGTCATGCAATGAATGGAAGAGAATACGTATGTATGCAGCCATACAGAGAGTGCTGCATTGTAGGTAGGATATCCATTACTTCCACTTAAATTGACCAATTACAAAAAAATGTTTTGGTTTTCCAAAAAACCAAAAACATTAACGTGCATCGTTCCAGCTGGGTGTTGAACGTCGCACGTGCACGAACCTGCTTTCGTTCTGGTAAAAATCGCACCATAGCCTTTTTGCCGAAGATGCGAACTCTCCATGAATTTTAACTCACTACAGGCGCCATTCACCAGCTATTTTGTAGACTTCAAATCTTGAGGTTGATATTTGAATAAAGCGGAAAACATTAATTTGGATCATCAGTTATGATATATCATCTTCATCTGAATCATCTTCCAAATTAATTATTAGTGGGGCTACACCTTCTATTGAAAATATACAAAATTGTTAATGTTTACAATAATATTATGTTGTGTGATATACAATGAACCCTGAACAAATCCAAGGACTTTGCAATTGCGTAGGTGATTTTTAAACAATTCAAAGTGTAATTAAACTAATTCATCTGAAGTATCCATACTTTTATGAAACAGTACCTAACTGCAGATTTTCATAAACACACATTGGACTGCGAATATTGGCTACTGCTGTTAACTGCCCTATGTATTAGTAGGTATTTCATAGTCGACAGTGTACATGGTACAGTCATTTGGAATGAATGGCTAAGATACGTATATATTAGTAATAATTTAATACACTTGCTATTGACTTTAATTACACCTAAAGCCTGTGATTGTGTCGTTTCATCGTTCTGAGTCGCAATAAAACTTTGAACTTTGAAAGTAATCATAAGGATTAGAATCGTATTTATCTTGGCTGAAAATTTTGAAATATCATCTTTTATTACGTTTGTTTTGTTTCAGATTATGATCCCACTCTCTCTATATGTTACCCTCGAAATGTGCAAAATTATTCAAGTTTATCATATTCATCATAATGTCGATTTGTACGATACGGAAACCGATAAACGTGTCGAATGCAGAGCGTTAAATATTACTGAAGAACTAGGACAAGTGCAGTACATATTCTCTGACAAAACTGGCACGTTGACTGAGAACAGAATGATTTTTCGACGGTGCACTATTGCGGGGGTAGATTATAATCATCATAATCTTGAAAATGAAGGACGAGGTGCGAAGGCGAGTGCAGCTTTATCTGTAATAATTAATCCTAAGTTAAAAGAAGATTTAGATAGTCAATTATCCGAACAGAGTACCATAGCACAGCAAAGACATGCAGCTAGAATTCAGGAATTTTTGCTTTTATTAGCTGTTTGTAATACGGTAGTCTGTTCACATCATCCTCACTGTGATCTCATGAATGCTAGTGGAGTAATAGAAGCCGTGAGTAATGTCTTCGCAACTTCGGGGAGTGCAAGACTAAATAGCATAGACTGTACAGATAGGGATGGTCAAATGCACTCCACAAATGACAAATACGAACGTCTAAAAGAGTCAAGATCGGTTACACCATCCCCGCCATTAAATTCGCATACACACAATGATTCCTTAAGAGCGACACATGTGCCATCACTAACTCCTATTAACTCTGTGGAATCATCACCTAATGCCGAAGAAATCGCTCAAAGTTGCGCAATAAAAAGTAGTTTTAGGCCAAAGTTGAACATTTCATCACTGCCTTTCTTAGGAAATAAACGTAATGGAAATAGCTGTAATTTAACCGATGAACAGAAGGCGAAACTTAATTGCTCCACCACACTGTTCGATTCTAAACCAATATTCGAAGCGGAGAGTCCTGACGAACTAGCTTTAGTTGATGCAGCTTATAGTTATAATTGCCGTTTGCTTAAAAGAAACCCAGGGTCAGTGATCGTAGATGTACCAGGAGAAGGTATTTTGGAGTACGAAATCTTACAAGTTCTTCCCTTCGATTCCTATAGAAAACGAATGTCTATAATTCTTAGGCATCCTCACACAAATGAAATAACTGTTTATTGTAAAGGTGCGGACAGTAGTATATTGCCCAATTTGGCGCCGATAGAAGACGACTCTGAACAGAAGCAAATAATCAACCGAACACAACAGCAGCTTCACACCTATGCGAGTAAAGGTCTACGAGTGTTACTCATGGCCAAGCGAATTCTTTCGTTTAGTGAGTACACTGATTGGCTGGCGATGCATCAAGAATATCAGCTATTGCATGAAAATCGCGACAGCAAACTTCGGGAAAGTTACTCCATGTTGGAGCGGAAGTTATCGTTATTGGGAGCGACTGGAATTGAGGACCGTCTGCAGGAGGGCGTACCAGAAACTCTCGTCTCATTAGTAGCGTCGGGTATAGTCGTTTGGGTACTTACTGGCGACAAACAGGAGACTGCAATTAATATCGCGTTCTCTGCAAAGCTTTTCAATTCGGATATGGAAATTTTGAAAATCATGGCGAGGTCGAAAAAAGCCGCCGAGGATACAATTAAGTGTTACTTGACCGAAATTGAGGAGTGCAGCGAAAGCAACGGCTCCGACCGAAGGAGTCAACCTTCAAGCAGTACCAGCGAGCTATTGCGAAGAACTAGGGTGAATAGGAAGAAGTACTCGCGAGCCTTGGTGGTTGACGGAAAAAGTCTGACGTATATTTTGGATAAGCGTTCAAATTTAACCAAACATTTTTTAAAACTTACCACTTTCTGTAATTCTGTGCTTTGTTGCCGTGCGACACCACTGCAAAAGGCGTACATAGTCAAGGTAGTTAAGGAAGAGTTAAAAATGAGGACTCTTGCCATTGGAGATGGAGCTAATGATGTTTCAATGATTCAAACGGCCGATGTAGGTATCGGGATATCTGGGCAAGAGGGAATGCAGGCAGTGATGGCAGCTGATTTTGCATTGTCGAAGTTTAAATACTTGGAGAGGTTTTTATTAGTTCACGGACATTGGAGCTATGACAGATTGGCACGGATGGTGCTGTATTTTTTTTATAAAAATGCTGTGAGTATATTTCCGAAACAGTACGATAAACAATTACAATGTGTTTGTTTTAGGCATTCGTTTTTTTGATATTTTGGTACCAATTGTATTGCGGCTTTTCTGGTGCTGTTATGATTGATCAGATGTATCTCATGTTATATAATTTATTATTTACATCGTTGCCGCCATTAGCTATTGGTAAGTTAACATTTCCATTACTTATTAAAATAAGCAATTGGTAAAGAAAAGAGTTTCCACCACCTGATTTTAGAAGGCATATGTACGAAAAAAATTTAGAACATGACAAATTTCGTGTTCTTTACTTGTTTCAATGTTTTTTTAAAATTCTTTCTGGCTTTTACTATTAATTACCACCTGCACCCATCTATGATGGATCTACTTTTAAGGAAACTATTATCTACAGAACATTCAGTTTTCTTTGCATTTGCGATTGCCAAGCGGTTGCGTGGGAAATTCCCTGTAATAATTCAAGGCCAGCCGGTAAGCTACTGTGCAACTCAAAACCAAAACTCTCGCCAAACTTAACTGAAACCCATGGCACATGGTCATCAAGTAACAATCTTGTCTAGTGATTGGACCTAAGTTGTGTTGTGAAACGAGTTACTCGAGGATCAGTATGTGTCACTCTAAGGATCGAGCAACATAAATAAACCGCAAGAAACGGGGAGAGTCAAATTCAAATCAGGGTTACCCTCTATTAATCACACAAGAATAGCTCTAGGGACTTTACTGATGTGGCATGTTCTGTCAATTATTCTATTATTCTCACCACAAATAACAAAACAAATCAAAAACAACATAATGTGGATAATGGTCCATAGTGAAAATTGGGCGAATTAATATGAACACTACATTGAAGTTACAGAGTATATAGTTCAATGGAACACTATAATACTGTTTGACATTTGATTCGACTGACATTTCAAATGAAGCGATTGCCTCCAGAGCCTACCATTATTTAATGAAAAAAATCAGAATATTTCTTTCAAAAAACCTCGTTCACTCAAAAACTATCTGATATAGGCATACAGACTGTTTATAAAAGTGATCTTAAAATTCCAATCTGCATTCATTTCTGGCATCAGAAATAGTATTTGCAATTTGGAAAACTGAAGTTTTTGACATCTTTTGACATTCTCAAGACTTTCAGCTGCCACTCAACAAATTTCTTAGACATTAAGGACTCGAATATAAACATGAGCACTCGCTTATCTTGAATGGCTTAAGAGAATTTTGGAATGGACCCTTACGCCTGCAAACGGTTACAGAAAAATTGACGTATGGCAAAAACCATGACAGATGCAAAATTTTAATGCTTCGAAGGTCAGTCCACAATCAACCGATTGCGACTGTGAACCAAATTTCAAATTTCTATGTCCTACATGAGTTGCCATTAACAAAAATATGCTCCCCTTAACCATGCACAGGTAACGCCACTTACCTCAAATTAGATTAGTAGCAAACTTTTTATAATTATTGTTGATAACTTTTTTCCAAATTGTAGCTTTGAAGATATATTCAGTGTTCTAGAAAAATTTCCACCCTGTACAAGTACACAAGGGCTACTTAAGAAAAATTCTTGAATTACGATTTAACATTTCATCTCTGATAAAGAGTGCGTAAATATTCGCTTAACGTATCTAAATACTCACAGCAGCCACCTCTGCGGTTTTTTGCCTTTACCATTCAATGTAATTTGATCTGAAGCAATTAAAAATTAAACCAAAGTGTACATTAGACCCAAGCAATAAAATAATTCATAATCATTTTGGTGTGTCAAACCTGATAATTTCGCGTTTTTGAGTAGATGGGTACCCACTGTTTTTTGAAGCTAATGAAGAAACGTATTTGTTTAATACATGAAAATGCACATAAATGACTAAAGTTTTTGTTGTAGGTGTTTATGACCAAGACAGCCCCGAGGATCTCTTGCGCCAAAAACCGTATTTATACAGAAAAGGTCGACTAGGTAAAGTGTATCGAAGTTTTTCTTTTTGGTTGACATTGGCAGATGCTTTGTATCAAAGTCTGGCCATATTCTTTATTTGTGTCGCAGTCTACATGGATACAGCAATCGATATATGGGAATTTGGAACAACTGTAACCACCATTTGTATGTTTGTGATGTCGTTTCATGTCGCAATCGAAATTAAATCATGGGTGAGTTTATATTGTTCATATAATCCGATTTTTAACTTGTTTTTTTCAGACAATAATTCACGTCGCGTCTATAGTTATATCGATTGGAGCATTCTATGTATATTCGATCTTGTACAATTCCTTATGCGTGAATTGTTTCGGATTGCCGAGTACCTATTGGGTGATACAGCATGCAATTATTTCGCCAACGTATTGGCTGTCAACCTTGCTGTCTATTGTAATTGCTCTTCTTCCAAGGTACCACGTATAAAATTTCAAGGTGTCACTAGTTAACTTTGTGTTTTTAGATTAGTGTTTCTAGTCATAAAAAACACAATTAGTCCTGACGACGTTACGAGGGCGCTTATAACATATCGGCGTGATAACAGGAGAGGTGAGGGATTTCTTGTATCTTGGTCTCGTTCTACGTCGGCCTCTTCAATATACAGGTATTTTGGTTTCTGTGGTGTTCACGCTTTTTGCTAACTTTCTTACTAGGTACTGTTTTCTTTGTTGTGTGAATTTAACACTTGAATTACGAGATTTTGTAATTACTTTTTATGAAATATACAGAATAATTTGGTCTATTGTGAGGAAGCAATTTTGTAGATTGAATTAAGGTCGCATAATTGAAACAAACTAAATCAAAGCATATATCACGACACTTCTATTTTTCTGGAACCTTACAATTTGGAAACACTAGAAACACATTAATATTTTAATAAACCTCACGCCTTTCAGCAGCAATGATGTCAGCATCAAATTGTGTATGCGGTTTTATAAGAAATTCTTGTGGTTTATTGGTTTACTTTCTGTAATGTTCATATGTACAGTGATATTCATTTAGAAGTATACATAAGGATTTCCTATGTCTAGTTTAAAATGACAAAAACTCTGCTGAAGGACGCCTAATTTTATGCAACTGAAATAACTTCGTAAAACAAATGAAGATTTTGCTGTCATATTAATTAATTGGTATATTATTGCATTGGCTTCCGTATTTTTATTTTCGTTCGTGTGCAATGTATTCATCTGAAGAAAAAGTTGTTATTGTCAATTGGTGTAGTACTTAAGGGTAATTTAGCGGCCGAATTTAATATCTCTTCATCATAACCTAAAAGCGTACTACATACTTACTGTCGTTTTTTCATTAAAATCTAGAATGACAATGCAAAATGCCTATGTCTATTTCTAAATGAATAGCTCTGTATGTAGTTCGTATTTTTCTGAATATCTAAAAAAGATGGATCCAATTTAATTAATTTACTCGTATATTTGGTGAAATATAAATCAAACATGAATACTCTGCGTACTAATGAAAAGTGAGCATTTCAAATTATAATTAGCTAAATTAGCTGATATGTTTACATGTATCAACTTTTTTCCATATTTTTTGCCGCCTGTATATTGTAAGCCCATCATCTCTGTTACACCCCAAATGTGCTTGCATAAGAGGTGTGGCAATTAGAAGTTTCAAAATTATTATTCTGTATATTCAATTGTAAATAACTTGTGTGTGAATATTAACATTTGCTTTTTATGTTTAGTTAGCATTTTTTTAAATCCAGCTGAACCATGGGGATTATATTTTAATTTTTTCGTCATAATCAACGAAAACTAAATAATAGCTACGATAATTATGACTTTTAATTACTTACTGCAACTCTCAAAATAGATTACATAATCAAATAATGATTACATTTAATGTGTATAAAGATGGTTCGTTTAATTTGTTTCACGCTTACCTAAATCCCATGGTTAGGTTGTAACTCAAAACCATCTACTATCTTCTTCTTGACCCGAAAGGTAAGTCTGCATGTTTGAGCTTCTTACTCAATTTCGATGTTCACCTCTGATATCCTATATCTATGCATTTGTTTATCTTCTTGTCGAGAAAAAAACTTAATCTTTTAGTTTATTCTTCAAACGTGAGTATAAAATTAGATTCACAATAATAACATAGTGCTCCGCACTTCCTAGTTCCTAGAAAACAGTAGTAGAACATTTTTGTTTTCATTTTAGTGCTATTCAAATATACAGGTTGTCCTGTAATATGTTACCAATCTCCCAGATAATTCTAACATATTACCATAAATGTTGTTGCTTTTAAGCGAGAATGTATTAATAGCGTTAATATTGATACAGCTTGTAACACTAACATATTATTAACAAAAGGAAAAAATAGGCGAACAAATCTTGAAATTACTAAACAAGGAATCGATAAAATGAGAATAATTGACAGGAGCAGATTAATTCATTTGTTATTTAGCTGCAGTAGGTATACTGCAGATTATTGGTCTAGATTGGTCTCTTTTAAAAGTGAATATAGGAATAATTACATTGAATGTTAAAAAACTCACTGTATATTTTAGAGTTTCCGGTGACTATAATAGTCATTATTATTAATTGAAACTGGTTGTGGTTTGTGCAGACCACCCAACGTGAATTGTCAGGAGTCATTGCTTCAAAGACACTCTAAAGAAGATTATGGAACTTATTACAAGTATACATAATGATTTCATACAAATGTGCAGTGGTTTGTAATGGTAGTCACAGTAACTCGCGTAACGTTACTGCTGCACAGTATGAATAAATTAAAGGAGAGCGGAAATGCAAATTTTAAAGGGCACCCCGTATTATTTAACTTAATTTTATGAGCGTTGACTGGTGACCCTCATCTGAAGTGCTATGTTATTAATGTAGAGAGCCAATTATTTGTTTTTGTTTGAAAGCTTTCATTAAAGCTAAAATTAATATATTTGAGTCACAGATTGTGAAGTAACTTATCTTTTTTCTGTTTCATTTAGAACCACAGATAGTCGGAATCCAAATCACACTTTAACAGCAGTTGGATGAAAGTGTCCTTATGAGAATTGAACCTCCATTAATTATGTATTTCCAGGCTGTGATGAGTATTATTATAAGGGACCATTTAATAAAACTATTTTTCATTCTATAACTCGTTTTAATTTTATTCTGTGCCATTCTTATTTATTTTACGAAAGTGTACATCGACAATGAACTTGTACCTATTTTAAAGTAGAAGCGTACTTATACTTAGTGTAATAAATACAAAGCATTAGTTACCAATTCTAGGCAATTTATTTATAGCGTAAACAAATTTTGTTCCTTTATAATGATGTAACATGAACATTTGTATGGCTTTTATAGTGTTCTTGCCAAATATTAATTTATCATTGTATTTCTACTGTTATTTTTCAGCCCATATTACTTCTTGCCTGCTTTCCATTTAACTGGTTGCAACTGAGTGTAGGTACCACAATTGAACAGTCTATTAATTTATTCTCGGCAGCGATCAGGTAAATGGAAGAAATAACATTACTACAGAAGCAATAATAATTGGGCATAAGTTACTTAGGCTTCTTTTAGTATTAATAAAATGTGACTGACCTAAATCCTAGACATTTACGAGTTTAATTTTTGTACTAAATTATTGCCTGTAACGTAGTCAATTTGTTATGATGTAAGGATTGTGTATAATTGCCTTAAAATAATCTATTTAAAATATCCATTGTCATATTTTGTGATGTGTACTGTTGAGTTTTTAAAGTATAAGATACTGTTAGAAATGTGTAGTTATGTAGTGATTTTATATAAAAGATGTATTTATGTACAAAATTGGTAAAGAAAATGAAGACGATCAGTATTAAATGATTACAACTACCTATGGTTTTGATTTTGCTCCCAATTTTCTTTTACAGGCTGGGAGTAACCCTTTCCATCTGTCAATACAGGGGAAGGAATACATTTGATTTAGATACAATTTCGAGAGAAACTGCTATGCTTACCACAGCGATAAAGCAGTAAAGCTTAGGTAACACATCATGCTACTGTTTTTTCTGGATTTTTGAAAGCTCCCTCGATGTTATTATGGCCGTATGCATCAACAAATTTAAGCGAGGCTTAGCTTGAGCCATTCATGGCCAATTGCACCGTCTAAATTAAGTATCCCTTAAAGTTAAGCATAAATTAAATACCATAGAAACGATTGTCTTAATAATCGTTGTCATAGATTTTAAGTTCGACTTAACTTTAAGCAAGGCTTAATTTTGTTGGTGCAACTGGGCATCAGTGTGTATAATCAATGCTTCAGCGTAGCTTATAATCCATGGCAACGATTATTGCGACAATGGTTGCTATTTAAATTTGTCGGTGTATCGTGCATGCGGCCATTAGTGAAACCATTATTACAATGGTGAAACGTACGTGTTCTTTCAGTAATGCACATTTTGACTTACCCTATACTTACAGATGGCAACTGGCAACCCTAGAGAAAAATTACAAGCAGAGCCAAGTAACTTTCATATCGAAATCTGTTTTGCGCCACTTTCGAATCGCAGGAGCAGTCGGCATGACTGAATAGATCTTAGACTGTTCTTTCCTTCTCTAAGGAATAGATGAGCAGTGAGCACGTACCAGACAGTGATTACTTCCTCGTGGGCATGTGTCATCTTTTATTTTATATACATGCTTTTAGGAGCCACCTCTAAATGATGACATGTTAACTTACTTCCGTTATAAATTCATAATATTTATGTTTGCCTCAATCACGTAGGTATTCACGTTTAGCTTTCAAGTCTAAGCGTTTAGCCATATAGTGGCTACGATCACGCTAGGACACTCGTCTTGCACTCGGGCGGCTTCTTTGGTAGGAAAAAATTTTTTTTCACAAAATGAGGTACCTACCTACTTGCTCCACTGGATAAATGGTTAAACGACTCACACAGGGCAACATTACACTGGTAATACTCCCACGTGAATACATAAATAAATACTTAATAAAACAATATACCGGGTGGCAGAGCATATTTTAAGCTATAAAGTAGGCGGCACTAGTGCCGCCTAGTAAAGACTTTTTGCCACCTAGTAGTCTGTAAAAATACCAGTGGCAAAAACTTTTCAGCTATCTTTGAAAAGAAATTTATCATTGCCAAATTCATAGTCATTGATGGGAGACTGCAAAGTTTACCATAAACAACTACTGTTGTTTGGCACTTAGTCGTATTTTATAAAACTGTTGAAAACTTTCCGGTTGGTGTTCTCCTCTAGAGGTGCCCTAGTGCGACGACTGGGACCCCCAAAAATTTTACTCTGGCGTGGAGCCTCCAGTATGACACACCGATACTGGGTTCAGTGCCGCCTAGTGGAAGTTATTTAAAATATGCTCTGCCGGGTGGTGCACGGTAAGTGGGATATCCTGCCCTCCTGCACACTTTACAGAAAAAAACTGTCCAGCTTACATCAGTTGTTCAGAATTAAAAGGTGCATACAAAACTGTTATTACACGTTTTATTAAGCTTTGGGCATACCCGTAAATTTAAAAATAAATTTCAACATTTCTGTTATTAGTAGCAATTCATAAAACAACAAACGTCATGGCTATTGCTACTAATAACAGAAATGTTGAAATTTATTTTTATTTATTTCATTGAAATCACCTTATTTACACCTGTACTAGAAATAATGGTATCTGGCCTTTTCCAGGCTAGCTCACGGAAAATTATGTCTATAACTTGTAAGGAATAGCTATTCAACGCTCGTGGAACCGTCACACGAGCACAAACGTCATGGCTATTGCTACTAATAACAGAAATGTTGAAATTTATTTTTATTTATTTCATTGAAATCACCTTATTTACACCTGTACTAGAAATAATGGTATCTGGCCTTTTCCAGGCTAGCTCACGGAAAATTATGTCTATAACTTGTAAGGAATAGCTATTCAACGCTCGTGGAACCGTCACACTCGCCTTCGGCTCGTGTGACGAACTTTCCACTCGCGCGGAATACACTCTATTCCTTACTCGTTATAGAATATATACTATTCCCGGTCCCTTTCATTCTTTCCGTGCGCTGAATATAAATACCCAAAATATTGCTTTAAAATACAAATTTACAGGGAAGTAAACTAATTTTCAGAAAATCTATATGCGTTGTAATGTTTCATATGTAAGTATTTTGCGTTTTAATTCATAGATGTTTGAATATTTAGACAAACTTCTTTGAGAATTTGTGACATTTTTTGACGTTTCGTCAACCTTATCTGAAATAAACTAATTAAACAATCGCCTTTGAAATGATTTGAGAGTAACCATGAAAACGCATTTTCTATAACTGTTACAAAATAAAAATGTTAGCGAGTTTGTTGTTTTTTTATGTTATCGATTTAAAAGAAGTATAATAAAAAATATCGTTCATTAGCATTACACGTCCAGAAATGCTTTTTCCGTGCTTGAATGACTTCCCAGAATTTGCCACGCGCGCACGGGAAAAGCATGCTTTCCGGATGAAATATACTATTTAAATTTGCGGGTATGCCCAAAGCTTAATAAAACGTGTAAAAACAGTTTTGTATGCACCTTTTAATTCTGAACAACTTTAAACTCTACAGTTTTTTCTGTAAAATGTACAGGAGGGCAGGATATTGCATAAAACTAATTTCCCATGCTAAATCCCTATGTTCCTACTTACCGTGCACCACCCGGTATAAAGGGCAGGCAAACATAATTCACTAACGGAACAAATAAAAGAATGGACCACACCAAGCTTCAATAAACAAATAGCAAAATCGACTGCAAAACGTGAATAAAAAATTCTGACACGAAATTGAAAGATTAAACCAAAATAATAAAAGTTATATGGAAACACCTTGAGATACCATAACAATAAATTCATTTGGACACCAAACAATATGCATATCTCAAACAAAAAAATACTACTTATCTAATCGAATATTAAAAATAATACGGTTATTAAAAATAATCGATTACACTGATTAATCGATTTATAATCGATTAATCACAACGATTAATTTAAAAGAATTACCAAACCCGATTTTCGATTGTCGTTTGATTATAATCGATTAATCTAGCCATAACAATTCACATTCGCAATAACGTAAGACGACATTATGAAGTCACTGTCCTGTCTTTTGCATTACTTACCACTTGCTACGCATTTTTGCATACATGCCTTTATTTGGGTTATTGTTCGCATTCATGTTATGTAAAATTTAACATAAGCAGAAACGAAACCTAAAAATGAGACAGAATTAAAAGTACGTAAAAGCCAGACAATCTGGACACAATATAGCAATGAATTGTACTGTGGCTTCAGCTTTGTGAGTAAATTAATGATCTAGCTAATAGTCAATTAAAATTTACTTAATAATCGAAATGAAATTGATACCTAATCGATTATCGGTTGTATTGATTAATCAAATAATCGATTAATCAATTAATTAGAAGGAAGCCGATTATCGATTATCGTTTGATTATACTCGATTAACCAATTTTTTACCTAACGCTACAAAACAATATCAACCTGAAGTGGTTAATTTGAAATGTTCTTAAATTGCTTACAATGGAAGCAATCTCGCTAAATTAAAAGAATATAAAAAGTGAATGCCTCTCCTTAAAAATGTAGTGCACAATCGTTAAGAACAAATCGCAGCTGATTACAAACATATTGCGACGAGATTGGTAATATCTACTTAAGTTAGAGATTTTCAGTTAGTCGTTAGGATGTTGCCTATGATTCAGCCTGTTGTCCGTGGTCGAAACTCCTTACGCCACTTGCTCTCTATGGTGAAGAATTTTTCTGCATCATGGAAAGGTGCGACATATGGGATTTCTTTTGCTCTTGGAAGAAAAATTTCCCTGGGTTTCATGCACTTCCTGTGCATTACACCAAAGATCATAGTGTATAGTACCCATGATCTTTGATCACACTAATAGTTTAGTGATTGAAGTCATACCATACGCACATAACGTGAGGACTTACTACAGTCCACAATCTCATCAAAACTCAACAAAACCAGTGAAAAAATATTAGCGCAATTGTTTTGTGGAAGTCACGGCTGTTGGGAATCTAAGTAGGTACCTATGTAGTTCAAAAATAATAGGTACATACAAGGGTTCTCATATTTTCCGACATTTCAAACGCCAAATTTTGATAGTATCCACCTTATCGCCTCACTATGATTCCATTGCGTATTCTAAAGAAAAAGCTTATGTGCATGTATTAAACAAAACAGTGGTAAAATGTTTACAATGTTGGTACGTTCAGTAGAGTACCTACCTATTAGCTTATCTTTGAAATTGCAGTAATTTAAGTTTTTAAATTCAATTGTTAAAGGAAATGCACATTTCTTAAGTGCACATCTCTAAAAGTAATACGGAAGTTCCCCTAAGAAATACAATTTTACCCTATAAAAGGTTTCTATTGGATGCTACATCTAGGATAAATAAATAGTTCAAAATTTGATTTTTACGGGTTAGAGTTTCCCATGTGGTAGTTGAAGAGGAAGCGGACATGTGCCTTTACTTACCTACTTGGAAAATTAAACCAGTTATCTTTTGAAATTCGAAACGTTTTAAATAATATCTGCATTAGGAAAAAATTGAGAAATTGAGAGAATTTTTGTGATTATGCTGGAAATACTCTGATCTCTAGGCTTTGCGATAATCCTATTTCAGAACGTAACATCCAGAGCTCGAAAACCGTAATCTACGTCCTTTAGCGTTCGGTAGGAAAGGAAAAGTGCGGATTTAAAATGCGCCGCGAGAGAGATGCAATTTTTCGGCGTGTTACCTGTTGACTTTCATGCTGTACGACCTTATTTCCGCCACTTACA